GATGCTTATGTTAAAGAAACACTATAATGTAAATGACTTGTAGCAGTCACATTTAAATTATAATAAAGCATGCACATAGAAAAGAAGAAGAAAAAGATACAAATGTAGTGAAACAGATCAAAACAGTTCAAAAAGAAAGTTAAAGAAATGCACCTGTACTTAGAGCTAAATTTCCATCAGTTCATGGAAATAACAAAGATAATTTAAATAGGCAAATTATACTATTGAAATTTACTTTGAATTATAGACAATTCACAATTTACATGGTTTTTCACTAAACTGTGCAGTGTAACAAAGTGAAATGTGAAAGGAAAACTGCAGACCTAAGTAATGCATCTGAGAACATTTTATATCATTATTATGTTATTATTTATATAGCGCCAACCAATTCCGCAGCACTTTACAATGGGTGGATGAACAAACATGTAGTTGTAACCAGACAAGTTGGACACACAGGAACAGAGGGGTTGAGGGCCCTGCTCAATGAGCTTACATGCTAGAGGGAGTGGGGTAAAGTGACACAAAAGGTAAGGATAGTATTACACTAGTGACAGTTGCAAGAGAGGAATCACTCGGGAGCTATTAACAGTTTAATTGTATATACTATATTATATACTCATCTCTAGTCCTACTTTAGCTAGATCTGGTTTTTCAATTTTGTGTATAAACCGATAAGTGAAAACTTTAACTATAACAAGCATTAGTTGGAATTAGAGTAAAAGTGTGTCTCTTTACCCCTTGGATCCCTATTAATGTTCTATGTCCTCCACCTACCATATCTTCTGTCAGGTTACCCCTAGCTACCCGACCTTAGGCTTGTCTTCTAAGCTGTGTATATGCATTAACTTTCTCTGCTATGCCCCATGCTGGGACTGGATGCTTTGGATTAACTTTCTCTCCGATTCCTCTGATTCCTGTTCTAAGCTGTTTCATTATATTTTTTATATTTTGCATGGGTCCCATGTGATTAAAAACATTATGGAGCACATTTCTCCTAATCAGCCCTTCTCAAATAGTGATAGTGTTTGTATGTACAGTCTTAGATTCTCTTAATTCCTATGGACCTAGTAAGGGTGTACTTAGTTTTTCACACTTGGCTTTTCCATTTTGGTTAAATAAATTATGACACGGTGTAATATGTCAAGTGTTGTTGGATTTACCTAATTTTAAAACCTGCTAAAGAACAGATGATCATTATTATGTCCTGATATGTAAAACTATAGAATTCAAAGAGGGTGTACTTTCTTTTTCCCATGACCGTATGTGCCTTTTACTTACGATAAAGGTTACAATGCATATCAACTGGCCCAAACAGTAGAGGACCTTCAGTAACAGTATACCACAGCATTAAAGATATTCAGTCATTGTGTACCCTACCTTAAGGACCTTTGTCAGTCTGTAAACTACTTGAATATTGTATATCCTATCTCGGTGTTTTCAGTCATTCTGTGCATTGCTTGACTGACCTTTGGGCATTGTATATATGACCTAGGGGCCTTCAGTAATTCTGCATGTGGCTTGGCTGACATCGGAACATTGTATATATTGCCTAGGGGCCATCATTAATTCTGCTTGCAGCTTGGCTGACCTCGGAACATTGTATATCCTGCCTAGGGGCCTTCAGTAATTCTGCATGCGGCTTGGCTGCCCTCGGAACATTGTATATCCTGCCTGGGGGCCTTCAGTAATTCTGCATGTGGCTTGGTTGACCTCGGAACATTGTATATCCTGCCTAGGGGCCTTCAGTAATTTAGAATACTGCTTGGTTGACCTCTGAACATTGCATATCCTGTCTAAGGGCCTTCAGTCATTCTGTACACTGTTTGGCTGACCTCTGAACATTGTGTATCCTATCTATGTGCCTTCAGCCATTCGGTGCACTGCTTCGCTGACCTTCTGAAGATTATATATCCTGCCTAGGGGCCTTCAGTCATTCTGTGCACTGCTTGGCTGACCTCTGAACATTGTATATCCTATCTTGGTGCCTTCAGTCATTCTGTGCACTGCTTCGCTGACCTTTTGAACATTGTATATCCTGCCTAAGGGCCTTCAGTCATTATGTGCACTGCTTGGCTGACCTCTGAACATTGTATATCCTATCTTGGTGCCTTCAGTCATTCTGTGCACTGCTTGGCTGACCTCTAAATATTTTGTATATCCTATCTTGGTGCCTTAAGTCATTCTGTGCACTGCTTGGCTGACCTTTGAACATTGTATATCCTGCATAGGGGCCTTCAGGCATTCTGTGCACTGCTCAAATGCCTCTAAGCAGTGTGTTTCCTGTATATGGCACTATTAGGTTCCATAAAGTCTTCTGAAAGGATTGGCAGGCATCAGTTACTTATCCAAGCAGATCTTCAGGTACTGACTCTGATGCATAGGACCTATGGGCATTGTGTCCTCTGATTTGTCACAGTTTCCTCATCCCTGTATAGTGTTATGTGTTAAATTCCAATATATTTCCCTGCTATATTTTTCATTTCTGTACTAAATCATATTCATTCACCTTTTAATGAAACCAATATACAGAGGGAAAATTGCTTAACATGATGTTGAACAAACTCTGCCAGGAGGAATTTGGAAGCATTGCTATCAGTACAGATAAACAATCCCCTAATGGTTGTTAAGGAGCTTTGTATCTCCGAAATGTTACCGATGTCCAGTTTCGATGAAATGTTTTCGTATATTTGCAAAACAGAAATGTTGGCCAGTTTCTCTCTAAGTAAAATTATCCAACAAAACATCTTACAACTGTACATGAAATGTCTGATGTGAGAAACAGTTTGTGCTGTTCCAGTTACTTGTGTCTAGGCATGTGTAAAATTAATCCCTCCAGGAAAAGAAGCAAAACTGAAGCGTGCCAAAATATAAGTGGATTTGGCCGATGTAAGAATTTTATTGGATAAAATGTATAAAGTACTCCTTTTTTAATTACTTATGCTTGTCATGTTTCGCTACCCTCCAGGGGGTACTGGCATGGTATAACTTACTTGGATACATCACATTAATTAGGATTTAAATATTTCTTGTTTCTTACACCCAGTTCAGAGGCATGTTATCCAAACTGCATGATAAAATTGTGTTGTGCAGGTGAATAACACAGTTTGTTAAAGTGTGAACCTCTAATAACCACAGGGCTTGCAGCTGAGAGTCTTGGGAGCTTGATGCTGGTGTGTTTGGGACCCAGGCTCTGCATAGGGCTTGCAGCTGAGAGTCTTGGGAGCTTGATGCTGGTGTGTTTGGGACCCAGGCTCTGCATAGGGCTTGCAGCTGAGACTCTCGGGAGCTAGATGCTGGTGTGTTTGGGACCCAGGCTCTGCATAGGGCTTGCAGCTGAGACTCTCGGGAGCTAGATGCTGGTGTGTTTGGGACCCAGGCTCTGCATAGGGCTTGCAGCTGAGAGTTTTGGGAGCTAGATGCTGGTGTGTTTAGGACCAAGGCTCCGCAAGATTGCAAAGTTCTATCCGTAGACAGGAATTTTGCAATTTTAAAAAAAATTTTTTTTGTAAGTAAACTCCTCAAGTTAATTCATTAAAATTTCAAATAGCATTGCTGGAATCACAAAATTAGATAGCACTACCGAGGAATGAAAGGTGTCTCATTGGCACCTCGTGTCAAGGTCCAGGATATACCCTTTGAATTATACCAGTGGAGGGGTCTGGGTTTAAGTATTAAATGCAATGGGGCTAGGCTTAGCCATAGCAATCTACTTTATGGATTGAGAACACAGACAGTTGTAGAATCACAGGATCATTCATTGTGGATCCCCATCCCGTAGCCTACCCAGCATGGGGGAGGGAGAGGACTTATTTTACCCCCTCACTTCCAATATATGATGAGAAAGGTGAAAGAATGCAACTCTCTAAACAGACACATCAAACTGGATTTGGCTCATTAATATATTATTTTTAAAAATATTCGCAAAACAAATAAAAAAAATTTTCGCACATAAGGTTTTACACCACCAGTTAAAACAGGGATTTGTTACCTAAGATATGAATTATGGTAAATTTAACGCCAAATAGCAAAGCGTTTTTATCGAAAGTGTGGAGCACTGTGGAACAAGTTGGCACCATATAAATACTAATAATCAAAATGATACCAATAATTAGGATAATGAGTATGTAATTTTCTAAAATTCTGTGTTTAGCTAATAATCCCGGTAGAGTTAAGCAGGGAGGGGGGTTAGTAGATCACACTGCCTTGAATTTGCTGTTAATCAGATAACAGAAAATTCAAGTCAGTGTGATCTACTACAAAAAAAAATATTATTTATTACGATCAACATGAAATTGTGTGACTGTTTTTATTTGCAAAATGTAAAATTGTGGTCTTGGTGTACAGTTATTGAATGGCAAACTGCTGGCAAATTAACAAGTGATATCAAATTTGCTACATTGTGAAACCCTATGAAAGCATCTCCATTTATCCAAAAGCATTCACACTCATTAAAGGTTATTCAATAAATTATGAGATGCAGCAAGCTGAAGCATAAATGGCAAATTTAACCTTAATATCCAGGCTGTGATTTTAGCTGAATTGGAGATTTTTTCTGAATCAGCTATTTTCCCCTGAATTCTGATTTGAATTCACTATAATTCCCAGTTTATTCAGGAGTCCTCCTTGTTAATTAATAATTGAAATTACTGTACATGTCTCTCCCATGTGTAACATTGTAACCAGACAGTCTACAATGAGAGAATGTTTAACCTTCCTGGTATAACATTTGATAAGTGAGTAAATATATTGCCATTCATGGTGTAGAGATCTAAATTGAGATTCCCAGGTGTGACTATACTAAAACCAGTCACACTTTATAAAATCTCACATTCTCATGCTGTAAAGGGCTTTAAACTCTAACAAGGCAGATCTGTAGGTTGAGGTTTGCTGCCTGCTGCCTGATTACAATAAAACCTCTGCAAGGGGGGTGTTTACACCTTCAAAGGGTTTGGGATAATTGAGGAGGGGGGTGTCTGTGTGATCATATTATATCTGTGGCTGTTTCTTTGCCAGTACCTACAGGGGCAGGACAAGCAGAGTCCCGCCCCCTCTGTGAGTATCCTATTCCCCTCCCTGCAGGCTGAGCTCAGTGTAACACAAGCTTTGCAGATCACACAGACACAGGCAGCTAACTCACCCTATTGGAATACTTTGTATCTGGACTTTGTGCTGGGATTTTCTGGACATTCTAGAGAGCCAGTCTGACTGGCAGAACCTCTCTCTGAGAGTTGGACCTGGTTTCTGGATAGGACACGATCACCCCAGGTAAGGTTAGCCTTAAACTACCGCCTTGTGTGTGCTTTAATGGCACTCGTTATACCGAGCAGGATGGGTCCTTCAAATGATTTACAGATTGATTTACTTTGTATTGTATCTAGGGTTTTACTGAGCGCTAAAATTCACAGCTTTAGAGCTTTTGTTTTTTTTTGTTATGGGGATTTATTATTAAAAAAAAAAAAATATATATATATATATATATATATATATATATATAGTGTTTTTATATTTTAATATACATTCCGTACCAAAAAAACAAACGCTCTAAAGCTGTGCCATTCTGACCTTCTATTATTATTTTTAATTTTTTTAAAGCACACTCTGTATTACCCCCTCCAGTTTGGGCTGTATGGTTGTATCATATTTTGTTAGGTAAATAAGACTCATGTAATTCTATCTCACAGCGCTGGGGCATATGTTGGCGCTATGTAGATAATTGAAATTGTGGTGAATGCCTGCCTGCCCAGAAGCTCCCTACTCCCACCCCCACCCCCTACCTAGTCCTCCTTTCTTAATATCCATACTCCCACCAGGTGAGAAGACCTGTGAGTAGATAAAGTCCCATTCCCACTGATTCCTTTGACCGCTTGTTGGCTCAGTTTGTGTGATGATCCTCCTGTAAAAATACTGGCTTCCTAGATTTATTTATTTAATTTTTTTATTTTATTTTTGTATCAAATATAGACAATCTAAATGACTCTTAATTTCCACTACACTCTATATTTTATTTTTTTTAATCCGGTGAGTTGGCTGGAGATTTGTTTTTGATACCAGATTACTGGGATTTTACTTTCTATAAAGTAGAACTGTGGATGATTTTAAAACACTTTTTTTGACCTGTAGATTATTTTTAATACATACTATTTCTTGAGACTATAATTTAACGTGAATCTAAATCTTCTGACTCTTTAAGTGCTAAAGTAAAGGTTGTATTTTGGGTTTATTCCACCGTGCTGTACAATGGATCTAGCTTTGGCAATATAGAAAGGGTTAATCCTATGTTTTTAATTTGAATAGTGCTATGGAAAATGGCTGGCTATTTTATGTATGTTATAAACTCCCAGTTAAACGTGATCTCGTTCTGTACACCTTGTTATACCTGTTTGAACAATTCCTCACACCCACATATTAATCATTATTTTATTTGGTTTTATTTTGACCTTGCTGGGTGAGTCACTCTGCATGGTCAGAGATTACATGATTTGTCTACTTGCTGATTACATTTCAGGTTCTTGGTATTATATTAATGGCTAAGCGTTTGTTAACTCTGTTTAGGATTTTTAACTTTTTGTGTCTCTGCAAAGGTTAATAAAAAGCTTATAAAATGTAGGTTACATGTGTCTGGTGGTTTCTCAGTGATGAATATTATTGGCAAACATCCACTTTTTTTTAAAGGAACAGTATAGCATCATAGTAATAGCTAATCTATAGCTTTTGAGCAACACTTCCCCCCCTATCCCCCCCCCACCCCCCCTTGCTATTTTGCAAGTCACCAGACAGACTAATTTCAGGGTTTGTGGAGGTCTGAGCACCATGTGAAGATCAATGCTCCAATATATGTTGGAATCCTGTTCAGTTGTGACTTGAAAGGCTGCTCTTGAAACATGAGTGTTGGCTCAGGGTGGTTCAATTCAATGAGAAACTGGAGCATTTTGGGAAAACATTATAGGAATGTCAGGATGACCACATTTTATTATTTGTACAGACCCAGTTCTTTTAAGTCCGTGTTGTCCACATGTGGACCTCTAGCTGAAGAAACAAGGCTTCTTGCATTAGGAAGTAAGACTTGGGCAATATGCTCTTTAAAGTATTTTGTGCATTCACCCCCAATATAATTCTTTAAAGATGTGTTTCAACTTGAAATGGCCTGTCAAGGCTAAACTGAACATCTTTGCTGTTGCAATAGGTCTTTAACCCTACAAACCGTCTAATACATGTTCACATGAACTCTCTCTATATTACTGATGGTATGTGCCTAAAACGATGTCAATCAATCTTGTTAAATTGTCCCATTGTTGAAACAGGTCTTAAATTTGGCAAGTTGTTGACAATGTTCTAGCTAGTCCCCTTTCACATTACAGGTTATCAATTGGCTTTATATGATGTACCAAGGCTTCTTCTAATATATTTTATAAAGCGTCAACATATACCACAGCGCTGAAAATAAAGTATGGTATAAAGCCTAAACCTTGTTAGTGTGATCCTTGAAAATCGTGATGCCCAGATAATCACAAACTTCAATTTACTATATATTTTTTTTTTTTTCTACCAGTAATCTAGTATTTTTAAGCCAATTATGGGCAGTCACGAGGCCTTCATAGTGTAATTCCACTCCTTCTGTGCTAGGGCCATAAGTTTATTGCTCTTGGTTAAATGACGTAAACCTGTTTGGTAAACAGTCCATTACTGACCATAAATTTCCACTGAATGGGAGGTGTGCCACCTTGGTCACGTGGACATGCAATGTCCTGATATGAATAAGCTCTCTGGCCTAAATAAACAAAGGTGTGATCTTGATCCCTGGACTGTCTGCAAACCTCTTATCTCCATACCGCTCAGGTTACCAAACTGGGCTTAACATATAATCAATCCTGCTTGATGGCATACTAATGTATCTCAATTATTCTGCCAGTAACTTAAAACCCATTATGACTGAATAAGAAGAAATCTGCTCGTCGAGCATGCCAACTCCTATCTACCAAACAATTTAATGGTTTATTTTTTTTCCTTCATGATGGCCTAAGTCAGGCTTCCCCAAACTCCAGCACTCCAGATGTTGCTGAACTAAAACTCCCATGATTATATCAATGAAATAGGCTGAGAATCATGGAAGTTGTAGTTCAGCAACATCTGGAGGGCCAGAGTTTGGGGAAGCCTGGCCTAAATCCTGCCCGATGCATTGTATCTTAATTAACCCTTCATTTACAAAGTGCTGAACGATGGGCCACAGGCAGCGTCTTAACGGATAAATGTGCTAGAGGGACCTGCTGGAGCAACTGTGTAGACTAGAATTGAACAGGGAGAAAAGTTGGTCCAGCTGTTGAACAGTAGATAATTTGGACAATTACTTTCAAAATGGAATAAAATATCATATTAAGGATTTGTCTCCATCCACCACCTTCCCCGCACTGGTTTTAACACTGATCACTTCCATGACTTGGCTACTTAAAGGCAATATAGTGTAAGCTCAGTTGGTTAGTATGTGGTCAAGTCTTGGGTGGGTGTGTGCGGTGAGGGCTGTGGTGTGGGTTTTTTTTTTTTTTTTGGTCCCCTTACTCAAAGTATAGAAAGTAATTGCTACAGTCAATTAAGTTTAATTACTCTGCCCCACCAATCTATTCCGGTAATATTTTTATATATTTATATAATTTTGAGGCAGTTTTGGTAAAATTTGTAAATGACCTTAAACCTGACATTTCCTGCTCTTTCTAGTATAGAGCTCGGAGAAGCTTCTTGTGGGAAGTGTCAGACACCAGTGAAGATGTGTGTATTTTATGACTTGAATGACAGACTGTCCCGACCTTCTGGCAATCTGCTTTTCACAAACTGAGTGGAATGAGTCATGTCTATTAATGTTGTCGAGAAATTGTTCACATACCCTTTTTTTAGTGTTTGTGGCTTTCGCGTTTTCTTGCTCTCGTCGTCTAACAATGGATTTGTTTTCGGAAATGCACATGAATTGAATACATCCTATCCCTTAAGGCTGAAAACACCAGCATGATGAATACATTGTAAGCTACATTTGTCAAAAGATTTAAATTTTTATTTCTCCGCCCCTCCCAGGAACAATGACTGAGTTTGGGATCAGGAACATGGACCAAGTTGCTCCAGTTTACAACATGCACAGAGGCATGCTCAAGGTACGTCGTCCATCTAAAAATTCCTTCCTTTGTTAATCTAGATATTGTACTTGCTGTCTTTGTAATGTCAGGTGGTAAACTGGTGTTTTATCTGAAATGTAAAAATGGCTCATGACATTGGGCTATCTGCTCCAGAATTTAGTTCTAGATTTCTGACCTATTAATATGGTTTATTAAGACCTTCTAGAACACACCAGTGAATTAAACAGTTTATCATACCGACAAAGCACTGGATATGTGAAGTCTTATGAAACCATATACAGTACATGCTATCTTGTATCTGCATTTGTTACATAACTAAAACAGACTTATTCAATGATTGTCTCTTAATCAGTGATCAGATCAGACGTAATGAGTTCTTGCTCAATTTGACCTGTTAAAATTTTAGCCCAGTTAAGTCCACGTAAGGACATCAGCGCTGTAAATAAGAGGGGGACTTCATGCGGGGACACGGTTTTTAAAGAACAGATTGTGATTTATAGCAAGTAATACCTTGGTTATTTTAGTTTTGGGGTTTTTTTTTTTTTGTTTTTGTTTTTTTGTAAAGAGGTTAAATCTAAGTTTCTGTGAAACTTATGTGAATCTCAAACATATGGTCTACTAAACCGGTTTTGCTGATCCAAGATGGGGGAGGAATGTGTTTGTATTTTAGTTTTTGCTACTCGTTGAGCCAGGTGGTGGGGGAAGCTAATTAACCACTCCAAACAAACTGTGGAGTCTGGGGAAACTATGCTGTACAAAGTCATTAAAGAGACAGTTAAACCTGTTTACTTCATAGAAGCCATGGGCAACTGAACTCTGGGTCGGCTTGCATTCCTAAACTGTAGCCAATATATTTGTCCATAACCCAACAATTTGGTATCCGTGTATTAAAATGTTTTTAATTCCCTCCAATCAACATTTTATTTTTAGCTCCTATGTATATTTTAGTCAAATGATGCTTTATTCACCTGAGCAAAAAAAAAACACAAATCCCACACATAGTGATATATGCAACAGGAATGTATAATATAATTCTTTAGTATTGTAAAACTAATCCACTCAGACGTTTATATAAAACGATGGCTAGTTGGCAAGAATGTTCAAGTCTTTATTAGTGAACTATCAATTTTAAAGTGTCTCTTGTAAAATGACAGATTGGTTTAACCTGCTTACAGAGATTAAATTGACAGCAGCGTGTGTTCATCAAATAGTTAGGGTCAAAGGATAACTGATACTGTGTGTGTGTAGTAAAAAAAATAAAAATAAATTCTTGTCCTGATCCATTAAAATCTGCTTCTTTGTGACAGTAAATGGTTGAATTACAAAATTGTTAATTTAACTTTTTTTTTTCCCTCCCCTTAGCGGCAGTTGGCGTTTGACAATGTAAATATTTCTGCCTCGATCTTCACTGGATTATTTTCCACATTTGAAGAAGAGCAGGCTGTTCCAACTGGTCTTGACTCTCTGCCCCATGGTAAGTCTTCATTTTGGAGTCACTGGTTCGTTGAAAGCCCAGCATGTAGCTTTTTGAGATCTAGGTCTCTAAACCTTGAAAACAGACACTGATGTGCTGTGTGAGACTGTACATGAGACTTACCATATATTCATTCCAACTTATGTGGGTTATTTAAATTTTTTTTTTTTTTTCAGATTCAAACAGCTGTGAGCTGCCACTTCTGACACCTTGTAGCAAGGCCGTAATGACCCAGGCTTTAAAAGCTACCTTCAATGGATTTAAAAAGGAACAGGGAAGACTAGGAATCCCAAGCAGTAAGTATTCTCTTTAAATGCCATTATATAAAACTTACAGTACACTTTTTTTTTTTTTTTTTTTTTTTTCTGTTAAATGCTGTCTGTGATTAGGGCTTTAACCAGTTAAGGACACATGTGTGACATGTCATGATTCCCTTTTATTCCAGAAGTTTTGGTCCTTAAGGGGTTAAAGGATTACTGTGTCATGTATAATTTTTTTTATTTTTTTTTGGGGGGGGCGGTTTGTGTTGGAGGAGGGGTGTAGTGGGAGGATGGGTTGAATGAAGTACATGGGGGTCCATTGCCTGTTTGTCAGCATGGTGTTTTCATGGTGAAACATTGCAGTACGGACTCCAGGGTCCTGGGCCATGAAGGTGCTTATTTTTGTTTATAGACCCCCTGCAGCTGGGAAGGTAAAGCATCATGTAAACCCAGTGACCACAAGTTGCCCAGAGGGAGTTTGCAAGAAAAATAGCCACATTTTAACATGCTACACTTCAAAGGAGAAAGTAGTGTTTGCACAGCTGGAATTCGTCACTCTTACAATGCAGCCTATGGAAAACCTTAGCGCTAACTGTTCTTCCTGAATGTATGGGTAGATGGTCAGCTCCTCTAAACACATTACCTCCTTGTAACTCTACAGTTAAATCCTAGAAGTGCAGCGTTTCTGTGTTAACACTGTATGTTTGTGTGTTGAATGTTTTAATGAATCTTAACTTTTTGTATAAAGCTGAAAGGCAGAAAACATTCAGGGAATTTCCATTTATGAAACCGTTGTATTGCACAATAGTCAAAGCAGTCGAAGTACGTTTGTAGAAATTCCTCTCCCCTCCCGTTTAGTCATCAGAACATGTTCTATAAAATACAAATGACTATATTTAAATACAACAAGGAGGTGGTAAATATTTTTTTTTTTATATTTTTAACATTTTTCTAAAGCATACTTTGACTTTTTTTTTTTTTTTCATGTGTAAATAGTTCAATACTTTATATAATTTTTTATTTATTTTTTTTTCCAGACCCTTGGCTTTGGGATGAAAATCAAGTTTGCCAGTGGCTTATATGGGCAGTTACGGAGTTCTCTCTGGAGAATGTGAATTTTCAGAAGATTATGATGCCTGGACATGACTTGTGCAACCTTGGAAAAGAACACTTTCTAGAACTGGCTCCAGACTTTGTGGGTGACATATTATGGGAGCATCTGGAACAAATGATTAAAGGTATATTTCGGAAGGCGCTGTTTAGTTTTGCCTTATAGACGGTTTTCCTGAGTTGAGCTCTTGCCTAACGAATGGTCAACCCATTTTGGGAAATCTACTTAAAACTTGTAGTAATTGAATTTTTGTTCTTTCAGAACATCAAGAGAAAACTGAAGACCAATATATGGAGCACTCACGAAATGTATCAGTTCCTCAGTGGATGACCACAGACTCATTAAGTAAGTAGCTTTGTTTTGTCTAACTGGATCTGCTAGCTTTGTGTATTCTAATAAGGCTGCTTTATTATACACTTTTTTTTTTTTTTAATTTTTTTTTTTTATTAAACACTAACTTGTTTTTAAACTGTTCAGTTATTGAGTGGAATATTCTAATGTGGTGGGGCTTTTTTTTTTTATTTTATTTTTTAATTTTAAATTTTATTTTTTTTTTTCTCCTTATAGACTTCAGTATGAATACTCTACAATATGCATCACGGTGCAGAGCTACCACAAATCTGGAATGTATAAATGACATGTGCCAGGTATCTGCTGGACAAAATCTACATAGCATCAAACAAGAGTTCCAGCCTTATCCTTGTCTAAAATCCATGGAACCAAATTATACTAGTCTTAATCGTAGCTATGCAAGCAACGGCCTAAATGCAATACTAAATTCTGGTAAGAAAATGGAAACTTCACTTGTCTGTATTTAAAGTCCATCACTAATCTGCACAGTCCTCTAAATATGCTCTCTTCCTCTTCTACAGGAAAATCCAGAGAGCGTGACTCTGGAGAGAACTGCACGGACAGTTTTGAAAGCTCAGATTCCTTGATGCAGTCTTGGACCAGTCAGTCCTCCTTGGTGGACATGCAACGAGTTCCTTCCTACGACAGTTTTGAAGAAGATGGCAGTTCATCATTGTGTGTCAACAAGCCAACCATGTCGTTCAAAGATTATATTCAGGACCGAAACGAGCCAATGGAACAAGGGAAACCAGTAATACCTGCAGCTACTCTTGCAGGCTTTACAGGTAAGCTAATTAGTCTGCTTTCTCAAGGTTCTAGTTATCTAATTTACTTTCTGCCATAGTGCACAAATCCTATTACGGCATTTGTAAAAAAATTTTTTGGCAACGTTGTCGTCAGATCTCCTATAAAGTCTTGGTCACTTGTAAATAAAATACTACATATTGAAAAAGTGATATTTAATAAAACACTTAATTGAGAGGGGAATAAAATATTGTCTATTTGACAAAATGAGTGCAAAGAAACAAGTGTAATGCACACCCTAAAAAAGGAATACGTCCTGCAGGGTGCACCAGAAAGGGAAGGCCAATCCCTGAAGACCTTAAATTCGGGAGTAATCAAATCTTGATAAAAGCTCAGAGGAGCTGAAACGTTGCCTCCACTTCCTTGTTTCAAATAAAGACTGCCTTTTAGAAGAAACCTTAGGTGTGCCTGGATATTTTCCACTATTGGACTAAATGAGACTGCAGGACCAAATTTTTTATTTTATTTCCCCACTTTAACATTCTCTTGTTCAGCATGATTAATGCTGTTGAAATGATCAGATCCTTCATGTAGTTTGTCTTCTAAAGTTGAGCAAAGCAAAACCAAATGCCAAACTAGCTCTCTGCAAATAGACATCAAGCAGAAGTTACATGAACAGAGAAGTAAGAGTCAATAAATGTATACTGCACTTTCCAACCTTCACAAAGTTCAATCTTTTCTATGGTGTCTTTTTTTACAGGCAGTGGACCTATTCAGCTGTGGCAGTTCTTACTGGAATTATTAACGGATAAGTCCTGCCAGCCATTTATTAGCTGGACCGGTGACGGCTGGGAATTTAAACTCACTGACCCCGATGAGGTGTGTATTACAATTGCATGCTTTATAAAGAAAACTCATCCTTGTGTAAATTGCAGATTAGTAGAATAATGGGAAGTAGGAGTCTCTGTAAAACAAGGCACATTAAGGTTTTGGAATAGGTTTCCTACATATGAAAGTGCTGCCTGCTTCCGCTGCCAAAAGCGGCTTTCTCTGTACTAGAAGTATCTTATTAGCTTGGTGAAGGCTGCCAATCTGGGTGGGATGGTGGCAACTAACCTTATCAGCTACTACAGTTTTCATTAAAGAAGTAAGATGCCAATGTGTCTTGCTTGTTAGTGTTACTTTTATAGCAAATGTGTAGGCGGCGTGTACGGGATTGGGACATCTTTCAGTTGATGGCTTTCATCCCATATTTCTTTCTTTTCCCCCCCCCCACCCCTCCCCCTCTCTCCTTTCCTGTTGGACTTGGTTGGGTTTTTTATTTTTTAGTTTTTTTTAGTTCATGCTATTCAAATATTTACATGTTACCCATTTTATTTTAATCACTCAGGTTGCACGTCGTTGGGGTAAGAGGAAAAACAAGCCTAAAATGAATTATGAGAAGCTAAGCAGAGGACTAAGATACTACTACGATAAAAACATCATCCACAAGACTTCAGGAAAAAGATACGTGTACCGGTTTGTGTGTGACCTTCACAACCTTTTGGGATACACAGCAGAAGAACTTCACGCCATGTTGGGCGTTCAACCAGACAATGATGAATGATGGTCTGAGTGGAGCACCTGGGACATGAGCACGACAATTGTACTGTGAAACTGACCACTTGTGGTTGGTATTGCTGCACTGTTCAGGGTCTATGGACTCTTGAGACCAAAAGGACATGAAAGAAATTTCATATTTTAATGGCATTTTTTTGAGACCTTGCAAGGAGTGCCGTATGGTCTCTCCTCTGCTGTCCTGAAGAATTTTGCACGTAATCTCAAGGATTGCTTATGACTTTAACATTCACTGCATGGTGATTAAGAGTTGTTGACTTGTGGCGTTAACCAAACTGGAAGAGACTTTTAAGGCATGTGAGATATGCAGTTTGTAGTCTGTGTTTTAATAGAATTATGCTGTTTTGAGGAGGGGGGAGGGTTGTTTTTTGTGGATCATGGATGGTCCAGCAGTGGCTCATAAGACTTCCTGATGTCCTCGTACTCAAACAGCATGGTGCTGCCTGACTCACAGGTTATGTACATATTTGGACTGCACTTCTTGTATAGGAATTTTTTTTTTTTTTCTCACCATTTCAACTCCTTTGTAAATGTTAGATTTCATATTTTATTTACAAAATGGATGTGTATATTTGATCTCTAAATATGTAAATTAAGGGTTTTTGTTTTTAAGCTTTGTTTAAAACAAGCATGCAGTGCTTGCCAGAGTAAGCAAATCGGCCTATGGATGGAATGGAACAATAATCTCCCCATCTTGAAAAGGTTAATTTGTCTTACAAATATTGCACATCTGAAAGGTTTTGCTTTCCAGTGTTTTGTATATAGTATTTTTGTTTAAATATTTTATTCTTATTGCAGTTTTGTTTTATAATATGGACTTTATATTAAATATCAAAATCCTTTGCCAAACAAAAGGGGTATGTGTAGCAGCTATTTTAACTGCAAATGGTTTATTTGGATTAATTTTTTTTAAAACTTGTATTTTATATCTAAAGTGCCTTGTAAAGTAAAGAATCTATTTCTGCATAAAGTAATTGGGTTCATAGAACACATGGATCAAATTATGATTAAAATCTTTTCAAGGAGCAAAAACAATGTGTGTATTTTTGATCTGACTGGCCTTATTGCCGGTCTATGAAGGGATGTGGCTGGTTGTAGTCTCTTTATTTGGGGGGGGGGGAATGAAAACTGTCCTGACAAAATCAGTACATTACATGTTGCTAGCGTGCGTTTGTGGTGGTTGTTTTTACGTCTACAAAGCAGATTGTTCTCCCTAATAGTGATTTGTGCTCACCTTAAGACATAAACATACAAAGGGTGTAAGGTGCTCTAACAGCAGCAATCCACCTCCGAGGTGTTCCTACAATCTTGTGAAAACGCAAACCAAAATACACAAAATGGTGAACTGTGTCAATCACACTTCTGTGAAATCAAACTGTCCACTTAGGAAGCAACACTGAGTGACAATCAATTTCACATGCTGTTGTGCAAATGGGATAGACAACAGGTGGAAATTATAGGCAATTAGCAAGACACCCAATAAAGGTGTGGTTCTGCAGGTGTTCCTGTGCTTCCTGGCTGATGTTTTTGTCACTTTTGAATGCTGGCGGTGCTTTCACGCTAGTGGTTGCATGAGACGGAGTCTACAACCCACACAAGTGGCTCGGGTAGTGCAGCTCATCCAGGATGGCACATCAATGTGAGCTGTGGCAAGGAGCGTGTATCAGTGTTGCGTCCAGAGCATGTAGGCGCTACATGGAGACAGGCCAGTACATCAGGAGACCTGTAGGAGGGCAACCACACAGCAGCAGGACCGCTACCTCCGCCTTTGTGCAAGGAGGAGCACTGCCAGAGCCCCACAAAATGACCTCCTGCAGGCCACAAGTGTGCATGTGTCTGCTCAAACAGTCAATCACTCTGAGGGCCTGACATCCACAGGTGGGGGTTGTGCTCACAGCCCAACACCGTGTAGGACGTTTGGCATTTGCCAGAGAACACGAAGATTGGCAAACTCGCCACTGGCGCCCTGTGCTCTTCACAGATGAAAGCAGGTTCACACTGAGCCCATGTGACAGTCTGGAGTTGCCGTGAAGAACGTTCTGCTGCCTCCAACATCCTCCAGCATGACCAGTTTGGCAGTGTGTCAGTAATGGTGTGGGGTGGCATTTCTTTGGGGGGGAGGGGCACACAGCCCTCAATGTGCTCGCCAGAGGTAACCTGACTGCCATTAGGTACCGAGGTAAGATACTCAGACCCTTGTGAGACCATATGCTGGTGCAGTTGGCCCTGGGTTCCTCCTAATGCAAGACCTCATGTGGCTGGAGTGTGTCAGCAGTTCCTGCAAGACGAAGGCATTGATGCTATGTACTGGACCGCCCGTTCCCCAGACCTGAATCCAATTGCGCACATCTGGGACATCATGTCTCCCTCCATCCACCAACGTCGCATTGCACCACACTGACCAGGAGTTGGCAGATGCTTTAGTCCAGGTCTGGGAGGAGATCCCTCAGGAGACCATCTGCCATCTCATCAGGAGCATGCACAGGCGATGTAGGGAGGTCAAACAGGCACATGGAGGTCCCACACACATTACAGAGCCTCATTTTGACTTGTTTTAAGGACATTACATCAAAGTTGGATCAGCCTGTATTGTGTTTTTTCCACTTTAAATTTGAGTGTGACTCCAAATCTAGACCTCAATGGGTTGAAAAATTTGATTTCCATTTTAAAATCTTTGAGTTTTTTTTTTTTTTGGTCTGCACATTCAACTATGTAAAGAACAAAGTATTTCAGAAGAATATTTAATTCATTCTGATCTAGGATGTTTTTGTGTTCCTATTTATTTTTTTAGCAGTGTGTGTGTGTGTATACATATTACATACAGATGGTAAATAACACTTTTGCAGAGTGCAACTTAACAGAGGAGTTAAAAAAAATAAATAATAAAAAAAGTAGGACAATATAACATATTTTGAGAATACAGTGTCAAAGAAACACTCAATTTCTAGAATGAATACAGCTCTTATGGTAGGCATATCCTGTATAATCCATGTCTGTGGATATAATGGAATCCAGGAATATGGGCCCCAACAACACTCCATATTAATCCAGAGTGCTGCCGTAGCCAACATGTGCCAGGCATCTAACAAATGCTTTAAGGTTCTAAATACATCTTCAGACATTTGGCACATTAACCACTATTCCCACAAGTTGAACTCCAATGCTTTAGTTCCTGAAGCCTCTGCTTTTAACTTGTATCAACTCTCAAAACTGTGCCTCATATATGCAGTTTAAAACTTAAAACCCTGAAAAGAGTGTAGTTGTACAGGCAAACTTCATGGTTCACCTTTTTACCTTGGTAAATTACATACCATGCTGCCCTCATTCCTACCAATCACCCACTCATCTTATCAAATTTCAGTGCCTCTCCACTTTTTGCAACAAAATCTGACCAAGCGGTTTTCTTTTATTGAAAACTAAACTAGTGAAATATATCTACAACTTTATAGAGACCGCTTCACAAATGTCCACTGACTACAAAACAATCCAGTATTACAATCTGGAAGAGGCAAATTTTTCCATAAACTGTCCTCAAGGATTCAAACGCTATGCTGATTCATTAACCAAATACCCAGACAGGAATAGGGAGTACGCAATGTGCCTCCTGGTGTAAATGTTTATTGCATGGTCAAACTGAAATTTTGACTTCCTGTACAAAAAACACAAAGGTAATTGTCCATAAAATTCATGTGCATAGACCTAATTTCATTTGAAATTGCGGTTTTAACGATCAAATCTCAGACTTTTTTCCCCCCTTGTGATATCTTGTGATCTTGCATCTCGTGCCTTGTTAAATTGTCAAACTTATTTTGGTTCATTTCATTGGAATTACAGATTTAGTCAAGTCAGACCTCCATTTGGCAGCAATAATGAAAACCTTTTGAATGTGAAAGTGTTCTGTAACTGCCAGAGGAGTAGTCTCTCTAAAACAGCATTTATTAGAATTTTATTCATCATTACATTGAGGGGAGGTAGAAGGAACCATATACACAGGCCTATAGAAAACCTAGTTTGACTAAGAGCAGAATGGTTATTTACAGATGCTGTGATGTTGAAATTAAAGTGATAGAATTGACAAACTCAATCTGCAAAACCAAATGAGGATCAATCCTTGATCTCGAAGGAATGGAGACAATCTGTTTTATAACTGGATGGCCATGTTCTGAATGTACAGTCAATTGATGGCTATTGGCTGTATAGTAATTTATAGCGGTGCAAATGAGTGACTGGCTGAGGCTTTTCCTTAAGGTATAAATTTCTGCATGCTGCTGTATGGCCACTTGATGGACTAGTGGAGGGAGCTTCTCTTAGATCTCTCTCAAAAAAATCTTCAGGAGCACACCAAGGTACTCTGATAGCTGCAGTACAAATTAAGACTTTATTCAGCTGCATTTGGAAGGCTGTGATGGAACAGCCTCAGTTTTAGTTGGGGACAGCTTGCAAAAGCTGCAGATGAGATCTGAAGCTATTGCAAGCTGGCTTTGGGTATACCCCCAATGGGGGTGGAATGCACTATTAAATGCATGCTTCTTTGGAGGTGTACAGATTACAGACCGCCTGGTACTCCAACTGGGTACCTCCATCAGTCGCTGCTTCCTAGTAATCCCGGAGTACCATAACCACCACAAACCATCGCAGCTTGGTTGGGGTCTCACTGTCCTTCACCCACCCTAACCCAAGACCAGGATCCAGTTTCCTGGGGGTAGACCTCTCCTAGTCCAGAGAGCAAAGCAGGCTGCTCTTACAAGAGCAATCGTTGTAATCTAAGGGAGTATAGGGATTATAGCAATCCCAAGAGTGAATATAGCTCTCCAATCCCTCAAACATGAGCCTAAACTTCATGAAGGTTAAAACAAATCTGTTTAATGGCAGCCATGACTGGCCTTATTTGCAGGTCCCCATGCAAGGGGCACACCCCCACTCATCCTGGACCTGAGAGTAGACTACAGTAAAAACCATACACACAATTACATTGGCTTTCAGGTCCAGGACACTCTCATACAAAATAGATCAATCCCCACCCTGTGCCTTGGAAGTTAATAGAGTCAGCACTGTATTAAACTCAATTATGTCCAGGCACAGAAATTTTTTTTTTTTTACAAACCTCCCAAAATACCTTTAAACACACAAGCTCCGCACAAAAGTTATATCCCCTGATAGCCCCGATCTGGGTGACCAACATATCAAAAAATCACCCAGATCGGTTCAGGGGTTCAGGAATTTCATGGAATTCATAATTTGAACGACCGCGCGCATGGTCCCATGCCAGAGAATCAGGGCTTGTGGTCGGTCTAGTTCAGTAGTTTAAAAACCGAACAAACTACCGAATATAGTCAGTGTTCTTACCCTGGAGCTTGTTCGTGGGAACGTTTCCACAGAACAGTGCCTTTCTAAGATGTGTAGAACCGGAAGCAGGTGATCCTGGAAGTCCAGCGGTGTTCTGGAGTTTCAGTATCTGAAAACTGTTCCATGAATGCGACGACCAAACACCACTGCCTGTGTTCGCAGGAACAAGGTGGCCACCACCTCGTGGTTGTTTACGTGAACAGCGGCCCAGGTGAACACTGCAGTGGAAAGTGTTACAAACTGTAAATTAGGCTTAAGAAGCTCCCAGGTGGTCTCTGGTTCGTGCAGCTGTTTGGGAACTGAACCATATAATCCCAATTGCACGAACAGAGCCTTTTAAAAGTATTTTTAGCCAGGTCTATTGCAGGCGTACATAGTCCTGAGGCAGGAGGCTGGCAAGCAGGCCCCTCCAAAAATCTGTGACAAGGTTCAGTTCGTCACATATACTAAACAGGATTTTTTGTTTTGCTTTTTGGAGGAGTGGGGTATTAGACTGTCCCTCTAACATCAAATTTCTCAAGTTGAAGTTTGTCCTTCAGTTGTCTGTCTCCTCTGGCCCCACCTGCTTCAGCAATATATTTTATGGACTGAGTGCCACTAATAGACAGTGTCAGATAATTTTCTCAGCCTATCTCTAGCTCCCCATACATAAAAATAAAGACAAAGACACATTGATCACAACCTTTATT